CACTTAGGAAACAGAAGTTCTCCTCTAGGCTGGTATGAGACAGGAGTTGTGGGAACTGAATGAACACCTTAATCATTCCTCATTCTTCATAGATCTGAAAAAGTTAAATGGATTGGACCAGATGTGCAACAAGGACCTGTCTTTGGTGACTGACTGCATGGAGCACGCTCTGACTGCCTGTCACCCTCGCACCCGATACTCAGCTGGATGGGATGCCAAGCTCTTCTACCTCCCCTTGAGTTACCTGCCCACCTCCCTTGTGGATGCCCTTGTCTACTGGACTTCTTCAAAGCCTGAGAAAGCTCTCTGAAGTCTTTACGTATGTGAATACTTGGGAAGATTTAGGTACAGTGTAAGAGAGAAGATCTTTAGGAGAAAGTAGGAGGGTCAAAGGAGGGAGGTCATTGCTCTGGGGTTCTATGATTTAATCTTCATCCCAGTAGTTTTCCTGTAATAATACTCAAGACTGATGTTGACCAAAGGAATAACCAAAGAGTTCTTCCAAGTCATTCAGATATAAACATGTTTGCTCTTGCCCAGGCTCTGAGCATCATGGCCTGTCATGTGGATCGTCAGAAATGAGAAAGTTCAGACCAGCTTGTGCCAATCACTGCCCTATGTCCTCCTCTGAAGGAAATGCATATGCTCTGCCTAGTTTCTACTCTTATATAGCATGGAAGTGTTCCTGTTCTGAAGTCCCCTGTGACCATGATCTCGGGTCTGAGAGGAGTCACTAATAATCCCATCACTCATGCCCTTGAATCAGTTTGACAGGCCCTGGGTGGTTGTTTTGAGTTTCTGTTGGTGAGAATCCAGCATGGGATGGAGACACTAATTTTTTTTTTTATTTTAAAATCATTGTTTTTTTTGGTGGGGGGGGGACTTTTCTTATGTTTTGAGCAAATATGAGGTGATCTCCTGTGATCTGACATTTAAACTATGGTTTTACCATTTAGTGGGGTTTGGATCACAGAGATAAGAGGAATGTCCTAAGTAGAGGTGGCACAGGCCAGCAGGCTTTCCTTGACTGTCTCATGTCTCACAGCAACTGAGGTGGGAACAACTTTTCTCAAATCAAATATTAACAACAACTCATAAGGCTTAACACTATGCATGCAAGTCCATGAATAGAATTTACCTGTAGGCTGCAGACTCACCACTCCTTCATGCAGATTCATTAAGTCACCATCCTTCCTTTCAGACTCACGAAGGGACCATGTAGACAGCCTTTTCAACACTGGTCTTTCATTTTTGGGACTACATATTTGCAAAGGAGCAAGGGTCTTGAATGTGCCATGGCCTCTGAGCCCTGGGTCTTCCTGCTGCTAGGTTGATGAATCTCAAGAGTAGTCTGAGCAGGTAAAGCATGTGTGCAAGAGACAGAGCATCCTGGGCTCAGTAGAGACATGCCCTTGGATAAACTTTCATAGATGCCTGAATTCTCTTCTCTCAGTAGAAAGTGAGGGCCAAGTGGCCACAGGAGAAACTTGTAAATAAACACTAATTTCTGGTTTAATTAAAATAGAAATTCTTTTAACCAATCATGTGCCTGGTCATTCACTTTACTTATGTTATTTTGAAATCTTTGTTTTAGGACCTTTGAGCTTATGTGTGTGTAGCTGTATGTTACATGTGTGGGTGGATCCTCAGAGAAGAGAAGGAAGATGAGGACCAATGTTTACAAGAAGTTTTCAGCCATACAATGTGGATGTCAGGAAATGAATTTGGGTTCTCCATAAGAGCAGAAAGTGCTCTTGATGTTTGACTCTTTTCTCCAAAACATGTACTTATATTATATTTAGCCTCACTTTATTTTAAGATGTCTCACTACATGGAAGGTGTACTTGCTGGTTTTATGTCAACTTGACACAACCTGGGGTTATCACAGAGAAAGGAGCTTCAGTTCAGAAAATGCCTCCATGAGATTCAGGTGTAAGGCATTTTCTTAATAAGTTATCTAAGGGGGAGCGTATCTTGTGGGTGGTTTCATCCCTGGTCTGGTAGTCTTGGCTTCTATAAAATAGCAAGCTGAGCAAGCCAGGGGAAGCAAGCCAGTGAGTAACATCCTTCCATGTCCTCTGCATCAGCTCCTTCTTCCTGACCTGCTTGAGTTCCAGTTCTGATTTCCTTTGGTGATAAATAGCAACGTGGAAGTGTAAGTTGAATAAACTCTTTCCACCCCAACTTGCTTCTTGGTCATGATATTTGTGCAGGAATAGAAACCCTGACTAAGACAAATTGGTACCAGGAGTGGGGTGTTCCTGAGATAATCTGGCCATGTTTTGGGAAGGACTGTGGAAGGACTTTCGAACTTTGGACAGAAGATTCATCCAGTGTTAAGAGTTCTTTGGGATGTTCTATAGGCACTTGGAAGATCATGTTGAGAACAGTGCAAACAATGGAGTCCTGACTTGTGAAATTTCAGAGGGAACATAAAGGGTCTTATCAGGGCTGAGGCTATTTTGAGTGTGAAGATTCTTTGGTTTGGTTAGCTGTTGCAGAAGAATCAGCTGTGATTAACAAGATACCAGCACGACTGAAACAAACCCTTTGCATTACTGGCACTACTGATGCTGGTTAGCTGGAGCTAAGAAATTAGTGGTGATTAAGAAGAGACCAGCATCACTGAGGTGGAATCTTCTGGGAAGTGTTGTCTGAGAGCACAGAGGCTGTGTTCCAGGGATATCCAAGGTTGTACCTTGTACTGTGTCTGGACTTGGTAATGTGTAAGAATCACCCAGGTGGTACTAATTTTGAAGGCATAAAGGGGTCATGAAGAACAGCTGAGGCTCGGCACTGTGAGAAGTCAAGGAAGGCCAGTTGTGAAGAAGGTGCAACTTCAATTGCAATTGATGGCCCAGGACTGAAGGGGTCATGCAAAGGAGATGAGGCTTGGCACCATGAAGAGAGCCTATGAGAGGCTATTGATAAAGCTTAGTTACAGTGGAAGACAGTAGTGTTTTGTGGATGTCAGTACCATGAGATGATCACCAAGAACAGCAGCAGCAGCAGTGGAGTACAGGCAGCTTGAGCCTAGAAGAAAAGGTGTGTCCTGTCGCATCCACCCTCGACCAGCAAGGAAGACGCAACGTGAGAGCTCTTCTCCAAGCAGTTTATTCAGGACCCTTGAACAATCTTCTGACTGATGACCCTGGGGGAAGCGTCTCCCAGGCTTAAGTACTCTAGGAATAGCCAACCTCCGTCTTCCACGTGGCAACAGCAGATAGGTACACACACACACACACACACACACACACACACACACACACACACACAGGGAGACAAGCCAGATCACCAGCCACAGCCAAATAAGGAGTTGTTTACTCCTAAGAGTCCTTGCCAGCAGGTGGCAAGGACTTGTCTACTCCTAAGAGTCCTTGCCAGCAGGTGGCAGAAGGCGGAGACCGACGACGCCATCTTAAGGGCGCAGCACTATGCGGCTCTCCACAGTGTCCGACAAAGAGCAGGACTGGAGAAGTGACAAAAGCCCCTGGAGAAGCCCAGAAGATATTGAGTGGGATTCTGGAGGTTGGCCAGTTTGAGTTTAATTTTTGCTTTTGATTGTGAGTGTGCCCTGATATTTTTCCCTCTTGAAGGTAGAAAGTATTTCAGTGGAGCCCACAGTTATGAGACTTTTAATTGTAAAAAGACTTTGAATTTTAAAAGACATTGGATATTTTAAAGAGATTGAAATGTTAATATGTAAGAATTTGCAATGACTGTGGGACTGTTAAAGTTATTTAGATCTTAGGCATGAACAAGAAAGTAAGGGTTGAGGCTTAATCATAATGTGTTTGTGTGTCAAGCTAAAAAGGGGTCAATTGTACTGACTGGTTTTGGGTCAACTTGACACAAGTTGGAATTATCACAGAGAAAGAAGCTACAGTTGAAATGCCTCCATGAGATCCAGCTGTAAGGTATTTTCTCAGTTAGTTACCAAAAAGGGAGAGGCTCTTGTAGGTCATGCCATCATCTGGTAGTCTTGGGTTCTATAGAAAAGCAAGCTGAGCAAGTCAGTGTAAGCAAGCCAGTAACATCCCTCCATGGTCTTTGACATCATTTTCTGCTTCCTGATCTGCTTGAGTTCCAGTCCTGACTTCCTTTGGTGATGAACAGCAAAATGAAAATGCAAGCTGAATAAACCCTTTTCAACACAACTTGCTTCTTGGTCATGATGTTTGTGCAGGAATAGTGACCCTGACTAAGACAAACGGATGACCATCAACTTAATGTCTAGCCTTATTGTCTTTTTCATTACATTAATCACACTGTAGTAATCCAACAGCATCTCTGCACCTTTTAGCCTGTGAGAGCCCTGCTCAGGAGGCTGGACACATTTCAGTCTGCTGTGTAGAATCAAGCTGGATCCACAGGGGAAGGGGCAGCACCCAGAACAGATGTACAGCTCTATGCATGGGTAGATGCTCAAGAACATCATAATGAGACAGAACAATGTGTAATCAGCAGGAAGTATCTTGTAAGGCAATCCCAGGCTGCCTGCAACATTTCTAGAGGAGCCTCCTTTCCTCCTCTCCCAGGTTTCCTTGTTGGGAGAAGCCAGTGTACTCAAAGGGACACAGAAGGACTCCATATTTGGGTCTGGCCCTTCTACTTTTTTATGAGCTGCTGTATTAGGAGGAAACCAGGTCTCCCTGTCTTCTCCTGTAAGTTGTGCTGATTCCAATTGCAGGTCACCAATAGGTTATCATTATGTTCACAACATTCTGATTTGTGACTCCAGAGTGCAAGATGCAAGGGACACAAGTGGAGCCTGGAACTGGAGCATGGGACCTGTGTAATGACATTCACTTGTACTCCCACATGGGTCCTGGACTCAAAGATCCTAAGACAATAGGCCTGTGTTATTGAACAGTCAGTGGTATTTTACTTGGCAGCGAGACAGGGAGAGCCAAAGGGCATTATACTTCTGCTGTTCAAAAACAGGTCAAAGACCAGAGATATGAGGCATCAATAATTATAGGAAATGCAGAGGACTTCACCCCACAAGGCTGGAGTCCTCCATGCCTACGCCTGCCTGTGTGAGCAGATGCCGGGTTCATTTTAACTAAGAGTATTTCTCTGTCTACTTGACTTCTCCATGCCATGTGGCTCTACCTGGTGGCAGTTGTGGGCTTGTGGATGCTCCTGCGCTTATTCAGGGAGAGGCAGGTGGTGGGCCATCTCCATGACAAGTATGTCTTCATCACTGGCTGTGACTCCGGCTTTGGGAACCTGCTGGCCAGACAGCTGGACAGGAGAGGCATGAGGGTGCTGGCTGCATGTCTGATGGAGGAGGGAGCCGAGCAGCTGAGGAGCAAGACATCTGAGAGGCTGGAGACAGTGATCCTTGATGTCACCAAGTCAGAGAGTATTGTGACAGCCACTCAGTGGGTGAAGGAGCGTGTTGGGAACAGAGGTACCATTGAGATTCCTGTGTGTTTTGTTGGTTTTCTCTTAGTGGGTAAAGGGAAGGCTTGTGTAGTCCTGAAATGATTCCTGGTGGGGTCATGGTGGCGTTGGAGTCACTGCAGAGTCTGTCCCTCTCTAGCACATCAGTCTGTCCTCTTACCTCTACACTGACTTCTCTAAGGTCTGTATTCTTTGAACAGCTGGTGCCTTGGGAAGTTTTTATGTCCATATTATTCTCTGTCCTCTTTGTTTTTGTATGAAAAAAGACTGGACTGTTGCCTGCCGTTTCCAAGGTTAGAGACAGTGAGGAGGAAGGAGACCCCTGGGTTCCTGGGGCTTGGTCTTTATGTGAAGGTTATGGGCCAGAGTGCACCTGCTTTCTCAGTTCTGCAACATGTTCTTATGCACTACCTGTGCACCTTCACAGGGAGAGCCAAAATCATTGCTATTCTTAGGCTCAAAGTCAAGGAATGCCTCAGGAGAGAAAAAGCTAGCATGTAGTCTCTCTCTTCTACACAGAAACACACACACACACACACACACACACACACACAAACACACTGCCTGTGAATTGCTTTCTCTCTTTGTCTTTCTCCACTATTTGTATTATTATTTAAAAGACAAATTTATATAAAAATGAATTGGAAACAGTTATTATTCTAAACTGTAGTCATGTCAAACTATAACTAATGTATGATTTACTATTCAGTGGATAAAAAGTAGTAACACATTGACCTGTATGTTTACTGTATGTGCTTTCTTTCCACTTTAAAAATGTAAGCTTTTTGACCACTTTACCACTTAAGGATCTTTAATTACAATAATAACATTCAATGAAATACAATAACTTGACCCTTAAGCACCCCTTATTACACTTAGCAGGCATTGGCACTGGGTATTTTGTGTTCTCTTTCTGTTCTGACTCGTGTTTTTGACACAGGGTTGTAGATATGGAGCTGGTCACCATCTGATGAATCTGTTCCTCAGTTCCTTCCTGTTGGCATTGCCAGAAAGTGCCACCAGGATCAACTTGTTTTATTGTCCTAAGAAGTGTCTTGTGATACTTCTAGTCCATTCTGAATCTTCAAGCATGTGCATTTTGGGATCCTAGAATTAAAATATCTGTTTTGCATATTTTCATTAAATCTTTTCCTGCAAACATTTAGGTCATGTTTCCCTTTCTTCATCTACTCCCAAATCCTCCCCATGTCCCAGTCACACATTTTATATTCTTTATGTCTCTCCTTCTCTCTGTCTGAAAAAACAAAGACAAAACAATAACCCCCAATGAAAGGTAACATGAACAAACAAACAAACAAACAAACAAACAAACCAATAACAAAAAAGAAACAAATAGAGACAAGCAAAAAAGCCACAAATCAGAATGAAAAAAAATTTAGGCTATCCTTCCTCCAAATGTTTCATGGATTTTAGTTCATGGAAACCAACAACTATTCCGTGCAAAGCTCTGTGTGTACCTTTATAATAAGAGTGTTACAGTTTTCTTTTTACCTAGCTAGCTGTCAAGTAATTGAGACCGGACTAAATTATTTATTTAACATTCTTAACAGGCAGAATTACTGAACAATATTACTCATTTCAACACTCTAATATACCAAGCTTCCAGTCAAAATCATGGAGATACTGCATTTAAGGCTTTCTCTCCTCCAGGTGTTTTCTCATGGTGTCTCCTAGACTCTTTGCAGGTGGTTAATCCGTACTTCCTCTTCCCTAGGTCCCTCCCTTGGCAGAGAGAAGTCCAGCCTTTTCTCTCCCCTACTCAGTCATTGGTTATTAAGCACTTTATTAATACTTCAGGGTACAGTTGTAAAGCTGTTGTTTACACAAGATTGTACCTTGATATTCTCTGAATAAGGATTGTAACCAGATGCAGTGGACACAGAAATCAGCGTTTGACTCTTCATACAGTGCACAATAAAATGCCTCCAAGACACCATTGACACTACGGTGCAGAAAACTGTTCTTGTTTGGACAGCAGTTATCAGTTACAAATAGCTTCTTGCTTAGAGGTTAGACCATGTGTCCACTTTCCCTCCTCAGTGCTGGGTCACTGTCCCCTTTTGACTGTGCAGGTCTTATGTGTGCTTCCACAGTCTCTGTGAGTTCATGTGAGCAGCAGTCCTGTTGTGTCAGGAAGACAGTCTCCTTGGAGTCACCCATCACCTCTGGCTCTTACCATGTTTCTGCCTCCTCATCCTCATAGATGTCTGAGTGTGCCAGGGTCTCTTCCTGTCTACACATTGGCCACTTGTGTGTCTCTGTGTTTATTCTTGTCTATTGCAAGGCACATTTTTCCAGATGGAGATTGATCAAGTCACTGAACTTTGAGTGTTGCTAGTAATATGCATTAAGAGTCTTGTTACTGTGTGTTCCCTTAGAAAAATAATAATGTTCAGTTTTCCCATAGAACCATGACTTATCTAGTCTCAGGTTCTTGGCCACTCTAGTAGTGTCATTATGGATTCCAACTCAGAAATCACACCTTCAATCTAATGAAAAGTGTTTGGTTACACCCATGACTTTGGTGCCTTATGGAACAGTATGTCTTAAAGGCAGGTCACTGTGATAGATTACAGACAGGGCTTTTGCCTTGGTAATATTAATGACTATTTTTCTCCTCTGGGAGTATCCAGTGTTCCTTTTGGCACCTGACATGCTAATTCGTAGCAGTGAAGCTTTTAGTTGGACACCATCTTGCCTTCTCTCAGTTGGGTGACATCAGATATTACAGACTTCATCTATTGACTTAGTTAGGGTTTTACTATTGTGAACAGACACCAAGACCAACACAACTCTTAAGAACTGAAAGGACAAAATTTAATTGCGGCTGGCTTACAGGTTCAGACACTCAGTATATTATCAAGGTAGTAGCATGGAAGCATCTGGGCAGGCATGATGTAGGAGGAGCTGAGAGTTCTACATCTTGTTCTGAAGGAAAACCAAAGATTGGCTTCCAGGAAGCTAGAATAAGGGTCTTCAAGCCTGTGCCCACAGTGACACACTTCCTACAACAAGGCCACACCTACTCCAGCAAGGCCACATCCCCTAATAGTGACACTCCCTGACCTTTATAGTCTTGTTCAAACACATGAGTCTATGGTATGTCTAAACACATACCTCAACATATGATAATACTAAATACATTTATTCCAACTTCATAAGTCGCAATAGTGTGTAACAGTCTCAATATTGTTAAAAGTACATAGTTCAAAGTGTCTTCTGAGATTCGTGCTTTCTCTTAACTGTAGACCTTGAAGCTATACCGGAAAACAGCTGAGCAAAGTTTAAACTGTGCATCTCTGTATCTGATATCAAAGCCATCTTTAGGTATCCAAATCCTTCTTCATTTTTTTGTTGATTACAACAAACTTCTTTCTCATTGGCTGGTTCTACTCCCTGTTAGCAATTTTCCTCAGCAGATATTCTATGACTCTGGCATCTTGAACATCTTGGGGTCTCCAAGGCTTTCTCAATATTATAGCTTTTTGTTCCAATATGTCAGATTCACCCATGGTCTTCTGGGCTCTTCTGAAGGGCTTGAATCACATATGAAGCTCTGCTTTCTGTTGAACTCTAGGCTCTGGTTGACTAATTCACTGATGCTGCTGTTCTTCGTTATCTTATGGCACTGACATCTCTACTACACTGGGGTCTTCTGCTGAAACTAGGCTTCACCAATAATCTCTCATGGGCTCTCTTCACTATGCCAAGCCTCAACTTCATTGCATGATTGCTTCATTCCTGCATCATCAACTGTAATTGAGGCTGTACCTTCACCAATGGACTTCCCTAGACTCTCACAGTGACAAGTCTCAGCTGTTCTCCATGATCCCTTTATACCTTCAAAACTATTACCACCTGGCTAATTCTTACACATTACCAAGTCCAGCTGCATCACAAAGTTCAACCTTGACTGTATCTAGAACATAGCTTCTTTGTGCTCTCAGAAAAATCTTGCCAGAATATTACACCTTAATGATGTTGGTCTCTTCTCAATGACCACTAATTTCTTAGATCAAGGTAACAATCAACAACTGTTCCAGTATTCTCTTCTATTCTTGACTCCATAGTCAGAGCTAAATGGCAGAAACTACTGAGTTCTGCTGCTTACTGGGCCTGGAACATGGCCCCCTTATTCTATTACCAGTTTTCTGTGTTACAGACTCCTTACTTTTTAACCTTGGCTTTCCTGGATATCGGGATTTAAACTTTTCTTAAACTAGAACTTGCTATGTCCCTGGCTGGCACTGAACTCAGAGATCTGCTTGACACAAACTTTGGGAAATAAAGGCATGTACTAACCTGACTAGGCCTAAGCTTTTCATGGCCACTGTTCCTCAAGATTCAGATCAAAAGTCTGTGTCTTTCATTTCTGGATTGTAGTTTACTCTAGATATAAAATCTAAATGAAAAGAGTAACCAAGTAATGATATCACCTAATATCATATGATTCCTTATTCAATGGCAAACACATTAACAGTATGATTAGCTGGGTAAGATCTTGCCCTAAAGTAACCACTTCCTTAATCTGTTTATCTCCTTGAGTACAAAACTCACTTTCATTTCATTTCATTTCATTTCATTTCATTTCATTTCATTTCATTTCATTTGTCCTTTTATTACTTGAACTATACATTTTATATTTTTCCTTTTCATGCTTGTATTCCTGCCCAAAATGCTCATCATGAGATTTAACCAGGGAACAAAGTCTCTCTTGGGCTTTGTTGAGATTTCTTTTGTCAATGAAATTAATGTAAATCTTTTCACTTTAGCTTAAGTTAGACTCTTCAGGCAAGGACAAAGAGGATCCACATTCTACACCAAGTATCCCCAAAACAGTCTCTCAGTCACATATTATAATTCTTCTCCTCTGAAACATCCAGAGCCAGGATCCCAAGGTTAGAATCATACACATCAACAAATTTTTCCATATTCTTACAAAGATAAGCCATTAATCATGAGTCTCCTTTTAACGTATTCCCTGCTTTCCAAACCCAAAGTCCCAAAATCCACATTCTTCTACATGACAGCTTGGTGTGGCTTACCACAGAAACACCACAGACCTGGTACCAACTTCTGTCTTAGGGTTACTGATATGAACAGACACCATGTCCAAGGCAACTCTTAGAAGGACAACACTTAATTGCAACTGGCTTAAAGGGTCAGATATTTAGTCCATTTTGAAGGCAGGACCCTGGCAGCATCTAGGCTGTCATGGTGTAGGATGAGCTGTGAGTGCTATATCTTGTTCAGAAGGCAGACTGGAGAAGATTGGCTTCCATGGATCTAGGATGAGTATCTTACATCTCACATATATCCTATGACCACAGTGAATGTCTTCTTCCAACAGGACCATACCTCCTAATAGCACCAATCAATGAGCCTAGTATATTCAAACCACCACAGTTATAAATAGCCTTACCATCATGTTTAGAGAGCAGCTAGTAGCCTTTAGCGAAGCCTGTAATGGGGGTTTGGGAGCTGTCTTGGTTTGAGTATGCCTAGCCCAGGGAGTGACACTATTTTGAGGTGTAGCCGTTATGGAATAGGTGTACCACTGTGGGCTTGATATTTAAAACCCTCATCCTAGCTGCCTGAAAGCCAGTCTTCCCTTAGGTGCTTTCCAAAGGAGAGGTGAGACTCTCACCTCCTCTACTCTTGTCCCATGTCTGCCTGGATACTGCCATGCTCCCACCTTGATGATAATGGACTGAATTTCTTAACCTGTATCCAGCCACAATTAAATGTTGTCTAAGAGTTGGTTTGGTCATGGTGTCTGTACATAGCACTAAAACCCTGACTAAGCCAGAGGAGAGTCTCTATGGTCTTTTTTTTGGGGGGGGCAGTGACAAAATGTGATCCGTTATTGGCAGTGAAGGTTTTACTTGTTGGCATTTGATTTCCACTTGGAAATCATTTGATGACTCTCCTGAAATTCCTTCATATATGTGTTTTAGGAAGCTTCTACAGACTTAGTTCTTCATATGGTTTTTCAAGACTGTACAAAACCATTTTCATTCTTTTTTTTAGTTTTTATTTTTTTCTCAAATCATAATTAATTCACACAGGGGTATAATCATAGAAAGGCAGGACATGGGGAGGGGAATGACACTGGAGTGCGGGGGCTCAGGGGGAATACAGATATCTTCAGAACCGGGTGGGTGAAGGTTCAGGGGACAAGTCACCATGACTCTGCCTATGACTCGCTTGTCCCCATCTAAGCTGACAAAACCATTTTCGATTAGAGATTATGTGTCTATAGAAACACAAGTCATGATTTTGAACCAAGGATGCAGATGACTTATTTGAACCAAGGTTTTAACATCAACAAATGCTGATCTTAATCTCAATCAGCTAGTCTCCCATTCACCCTGCACAGAAATTGACTATGGAGATATGGTGTTTATTTGTAGGCCTTTCAGAGTGGTTCCTTGAAGATCCATGACTTAAAGGCCAAAGGGATGAGTGAGGGCCACCTGTGGTTTGATGATAAAGAGAATGCCATGTGTTCAGGTTGACAGTGGAAAATATGTCCTGTTGGTTATTAGCAAAGATTGTCTCCTCCCTTATCCTTTCCCTGGGTGTCTTAGGATTTTTACTGCTGCAACAAAACATCAGGACCAAAAACAAGTTATTCTAGGAATGGGTTTATTTAGGTTACACTACCACATCACTGTTCATCATTAATGGAACTCAGGACATAACTCAAATTGGGAATGGTCCTGGATTCAGGAGCTGATGCAGAAGTCATGGATAGTTGCTGCTTACTGGCTTACTCCATATGGTTTTCACAGCCTGCTTTCTTATAGAACCCACAACAGCTTCCCAGGTATGGCCCCACCCACAATGGACTGGACCCTCCTTAGAAGATCAGTAATTGAGAAAATGCTCTATAGCTGCATCTTATGGAGGCATTTCCTCAACTGAGGCTCCTTGCTCTCTGTTGACTCTAGCTTGTGATAAGTATTCACAAAAACAGAGAATACATTGGGTTTTGTAAGCATATGAGGAGAGTTGATCAATATTGGTGATAATCAATATTGCTGTTGATCAATATTGAGAGTTGATCAATTATGATTTTCATCAATATAGATTTTTGTCCACAATGAGAGTTGATTGTTATTAATGTCATGGCCAGCTTCAGCAGAGCCTAAAAGCACATCTCTGTTTTCCAAATCTCTCTCAATCAAGTTTCCAATTGTTTGTTTCCCAACGAAATTTCCTCCAGAGATTTTATCTTTTCTTTCTTTTCTCCTATTTGTTTTTCACCTTTGTGTTTTCCTCTGTTCCTTCTCTTCTTGTTTATGACTACCTTTTCTTATTACCATATAAGGAATTATTTGGAAACTAATTCTTCCTTATTACAACCTTTCATGGTCCCTTGAAAGAAATGGTAGCAGTGTGTAAACTACTTAGAGTAATGCAAAGATACAACTATCTGTCAGAATTCTAGCTCTATGAAGAGTTGTCATGATCTGAATTCTTGCTTAGGCTGCGAGGCTAAGCACTGCAAGAGAATATAAATAAAAGTTAAAAATATCTCTCTGGGTTCCCTGAGGGACAAGCTTGACTGCATAAGGGTTAAAGTCAAAAGTATCCCCTCTCCAGGAAAAAAGACATTGGGATGGGTACGGCCCTCATGCCTCACTGGACAATGGCAAGGGGACTGGAGCCATTACAAGGTCCCCTTCAATCACTGGAGGTCAGGCCTCTATCCCCGCCTTTTCGAGATTAGAATCGCCACAGTCCTTCTATACTTAGAAAAGGAAGGAGATGTCAGGGGCAGCCCTGCTTACACACTGAAGGCCTAAAATCAGCCATAGGCCTAAAATCAGCAATAGGCCTGTCATACATGTATGGTAACACAACGTCTTGGTTCTCTGTGGAAAAACATTGAAACAGATAGCTATAAGCTATTGTAAACAGGCTGCTTTTGTGGAAATTTACCATCCTGAGTAGTCATAGACCTTGTAAATAGGTAGCCTTGGCGGATAGTACCAACTTAGATAAAGACAAGTGAATCATAGGCAGAGTCATGGTGACCTGTCCCCTGAACCTTCACCCACCCGATACCCTGTTCTGAACGATATCTGTATTCCCCCTGAACACCCATGCTCCAGTGTCATCCCCTTCCCCACATTCTGCCTTTTTGTGTTTATAACCCGTGTGAATAAGTAAAAATTATGATTTGATTTTAAAATAAATAAAAAAATAAGTATGACCCCACAGACAATGGGAAAGGAGCACTGAAAAAAAAAAAGAGTTGTCACGATCATGGTAAATCTTATAGATAAAACATCGCGTTTGGGCTTGCAAAGAGTTAAACCTTTTGACTGTTATCATCATATCAGGAAATATTGGGGTTCTAGGCACTCATGTGCTAGAGAAGGAGCTGAGATTCAACAACTATATCTACAGGTAGCAAGAACAGCAGGACTCTGGGATAGCCCAAGCCTAGTTTACCATATAATTCAACACATCCACACCCACTTCAAAAAGGGCCACACCTCTTAATCCCTTTCCAGCACTGCCATACTCTCAGGATCAAGCATTTAAATATATCAGCCTATTGCTGCTATTTTTATTCAAACCATCACAACTAATAAGAGAAAAAAAATCTCTAGAGTTGGCTTCAAGTTGTACAACACAAATGTACTTTCATGGTCTCCAGATTAACAGAGGTGAGCTGTTTTTATGCTATCTGTTCTTTTTTTTTTTTTTTTTTTTTTAAAAGGGTCTTTTTTTTTTTTTAAGATTTATTTATTATATATGAATACACTGTAGCTGTCTTCAGACACACCAGAAGAGGGCATCAGATCTCATTACAGATGGTTGTGAGCCACCATGTGGTTGCTGGGATTTGAACTCAGGACCTCTGGAAGTGCAGTCAGTGCTCTTAACCACTGAGCCATCTCTCCAGCCCCTATGCTATCTGTTCTTAAACTTAGCAAGTGATAAGGGACTGCTGGCTGACTCCCAGGTAGAAAGCTGGGGCCAGAAAGTCTTAAAAGATGAAGGTATCCATGCTGTGAGCCAGCAGTCCCCCTCATCTTTTCCCCAGCCATGTGGATACCCTGCTCTTAGTCATTGCAACATATTGTCCAGTAAACATGTCACAATATTCTTATGTTGAATATGCATTTCATCCATAATTAAACCTGTGTTGTGTGACTATCTCTTGCCACCGTTTCTAGGACTCTGGGGCCTGGTCAACAACGCTGGCATCTCCATCCCCTTTGGTCCCAATGAGTGGATGAACAAACAGAACTTTGCAACTGTACTGGATGTGAACCTGTTGGGCATGATTGAGGTGACACTGAACATGCTGCCCTTAGTGAGGAAGGCAAGGGGCCGAGTGGTCAATGTCGCCAGCATCTTTGGCCGAGTGTCTTTCTTTGGTGGCGGTTACTGCATCTCCAAGTATGGTGTAGAGGCCTTCTCAGACTCCCTCAGGTACTGTAAGGGAAGGGGACTCAAGGGGTGCTTTGGGAGGGTTTTTATTTAGTCACACTCTTTTAGTCCCCATCATGAGGAGAACACCAGAGTTTTGGGTCTCTTTCATCTTCCCCTCACTGAATCATTCTCTAGGCAGCACATTTCCATGTCTCTTTAAGAGGTTATGACAGAAGCATGAGTTGAGTTCATTTTGTCCTTTTATGGAGGAGAGAGGACATTGGACAACAATACTGTGATGGTTTTGGAACTGTGAGATTTTTGGTTCAAGAATCCAATCCCCTGAAATCTATATGCTGAGCATGTATTTGAATTGGGTTGAATATCTCTTTCAATTCCAGAGATAGATGTCAGGACCCTGTAGAGTCCATAATAAACACATTCTAGTATAACTGATGTGCTTCTATCATGACCTAAAGACTATGGTAACTTAGAGAGTGAGAGAGGAGTCTAAGACGAACTGTCCTGAGAGCTTCTGGGGACAGATGTGGGGCAGATGCAATCTTACTCATGAGGTTAAGATGACTTGGACAAGAACTAGAATTCATTGCATCTGCACCTCTTGGAGAAAGGTCTTACACAGTGTCATAGACCAGAATGTTTAGTTTTAGGGCAGTGAGCTACACACAACAAACACTTAGTGTGATATACAAGAGCACAGAGGTAATGCCCTTATCACAAGATTCTTCTCCATTTTCTGTACACCCCAGATCCAAAGGGTGTGGCATTTTCTTTTTCTTTTTTCTTTTTTCTTTTTCTTTCTTTCCTTCTTCCTTCCTTTCTTTCTTTCTTTCTTTCTTTCTTTCTTTCTTTCTTTCTTTCTTTCTTTCTTTCTTTCTTTCTTTTTTTTTTTTTTTTTTTTTTTTTTTTTTTTTACCACAGGCTCCTTTTGGCATGCTACTGTTTTCCTATTAAAGTGTTCTCACTGAAAGACCTCTAAAGACCTTGACATCTGTCTGTCTTGCAGGAGGGAGCTCTCCTATTTTGGGGTGAAGGTGGCTATTATAGAGCCAGGCTTCTTCCTAACTGATGTGACCAATAGTGCCAGATTAAGCTCAAATATCCAGATGCTGTGGGACCAGACCAGCTCAGAAATCAGGGAGACCTACGGCGAGAAATATCTGGCATCCTGTAAGTGATATCTGAGGATCAAAGCTACATAGAATTCTGAATGCTTAACCCCCTGCTCATTTTAGCAGTTCTAACATCTTTCTCTTTATCCTCAATGAACAGTAGTTTAGGCCTATTTCCTTGGGAAGTTTGTGTATGTGGTAGAAAGGAGTTCTTGTTTTTTAAAACATACTGCTCTGTTCTTTCTGATCCTCTCATGATCATTGGCCTGTAAGCAAAGCCAGGGATGGGGGGGGGGGTGGCGATATAAGACCAGTACATTCCACGAGCAGTGGTGATACACGTGTCTGAGTGCATAATTTTCCTTGAAGATTTTTGTGGTCCTTCTGAGGAACTGGAACAATCTAGGCTTGTGTTTCAGACACATAGATTCTCCCACTTAGGAAACAGAAGTTCTCCTCTATGCTTGAGTCAGACAGGAGTGGTGGCAGCTGAATGACCACCTTAATCATTTCTCATTCTGCATAGATCTGAAAAAGCTAAACGGATTGGACCAGATGTGCAACAAGGACCTGTCTTTGGTGACTGACTGCATGGAGCACGCTCTGACTGCCTGTCACCCTCGCACCCGATACTCAGCTGGTTGGGATGCCAAGCTTTTCTACCTCCCCTTGAGCTACCTGCCCACCTCCCTTGTGGATGCCTTTGTCTACTGGACTTCTCCAAAGTCTGAGAAAGCTCTCTAAAATCTTTACTTATGTGCATAGTCAGGGAGATGTAGGTAGAGTGTAAGGGAGGGAATTTTCAGGAGAATTAAGAGGGTCAAGAAAGGAAAGTCATTATGCTGGGCTCTAGGACACATCCTTCATCCTCCTAATTTTCCTGTAATACTACTTAGGACTGATGATGATCAAAGAAATAGCCAAAGAATTCTGCCAAAGGATTCGGATAGAAAAGAGCTGGCTGTTGCCCAGGCTCTCAGCATCATGGCCTACCATGTGGATCCACAGGAATGAGGAAATTGGGACCAGCTTGTGCCAATCACTGCCCTATGTCCTCCTCTGAAGAAATGCACATGCCCTTCCTAGTTTCCACCGTTATGTAGCATGGAGGTGCCCCTGCTCTGAAGTCACCTGTGACCATGGTCTGAGGTCTGAGAAGACTCACTAATAATGCCATCGCTCATGCCCTAGAGTCAGGTTGTCAGGCCCTGGGTTGGTGGTTCAGTCCCTGTTGGTGAGAATCCAACATGGGATAGAAACACAAATTTTTTATTTATTTTAAAATCATTACATTTTTGAGGGAGTCTTCTTATTTTTTGAGTAACTATGAGGTGATCTCCTGTGTTCTGCCATTTAAAGTAAGGCTTTACCATTTAGTGGGGTTTGGATCACAGAGTTAAGGGGAATGTCCTCAGAAGTGTTGACACAGGCCAATAGGCATTTCTTGACTGTCTCATCCCTTCCAGCCACTGAGGTGGGAACAACTGCTCTCCACTCAAAACATTACAACAGCACATAAGGCTGTGCATGCAAGTCCATGAATAGAATTTACCTGTAGGCCTCAGCCTCACCACTCCTGCAGACTCACTAAATGACCATCGATCCCTGCAGACTCACTAAGTGACCACGTAGACAGTATCCTTCTCAACACTGGTCTTTCATTTTTGGGACAATATATTTGCAAATGAGCAAGGGTCTTGAACTTGCCTTGGCCTCTGAGACCTGGGTCTTCCTACTACCAGGTTGGTGAATCTCAAGAGTAGGCTGAGCAGGGAAAGCATCTGTGCAAGAGACAGAGAATCCTGGGCTCAATAAAGACTTGCCCTTGGAAGGACTTCTATAGATGTCTGATTCCTTTTTCCTCAGTAGAAATGTGGGGGCGAATGGGCCACAGAAGAAACTTGAAAATAAACAGTAATTTCTGATTTAATGAAAATACAAATTCCTCTACCATATCATGTGCCTGGTCATTCATTTTACCTTTGTTATTTGTGTGTACCTTTATGTTACATGCGTGGGAGGATTCTCAGAGATGAGAAGGAAGATGAGGACCACTGGATATAAGAAGATTTCAGCCATACAATTTAGGTGTTTGGAAATGAATTTGGGTTCTACAGAGGAGTAGAAAGCTCTTTGATGGCTGTTTCATTTCTCCAAAAACATGTGTTTATATTATATTTTATCTAATTTTATTTGAGATGTCTCATTGCATGGCTGGTGTACTGGCTGTTTTTGTGGTAACTTGATACAAATTGGAATTATCACATAGAAAGTGCTTCAGTTAAGGAAACACTTCCATGAGACCCAGCTTTAAGGCATTTCCCCAATTAATGATTAAGGAGGGAGAGCTTCTTGTGGATGGTACCATCCCTGGGCTGGGTAGTGTTGGGTTCTATAGGAAAGCAAGCTGAGCAAGGCAGTGGGAGCAAGTCAGTAAGTAACATCCCTCCATGGCCTCTGCATCAGCTCCTGCTTCCTGACCTGCTTGAGTTCCAGTCATGACTTCCCTTGCTGATCAATAGCAAGCTGAATAAATTCTTTTCTCCCCAACTTGCTTCTTGGTCATGATGTTTATGCAGGAATAGAAACTTTGACTAAGACAAATTGGTACCAGGAGTCGGGTAGTCCTGAGCTAACATGACCATGTTTTAGGAAGGACGGTGGATGGACTTTGGAACTTTGGGCTAGAAAGGAGTCCGGTGTTAAGAGTTCTGTGGGATGAGCCATAGAAGCTTCTATAGAAGATAATGTTGAGAACAGTTCAAACAATGGAGGCCTGGCTTGTGAAACTTCAGAGGTAAGGTTAAAGACTCTTATCATGGCTATTGCTGTATTGATTGTGACGATTCTTTGGTTTTGGTTAGCTGTTGCAGAAGAATCATCTGTGATTAACAAGATACCAGGACTACTAAAGCAAATCCTTAGCATTACAGGAACTATTGATGCTGGTTAGCTGGAGCTAAGAAATTAGTGGTGATTAAGAAGAGACTAGCATCACTAAGGTGACATCTTCTGGGAAGTGTTGTCTGAGAGCACATAGGCTGTGTTCTAGAGATAGTCAAGGTTGTACCTTGTGCTGTGGCTAGACTTGTTAATGTGTCAGAGTCACCCAGGTGGTACTGGTTTTGAAGGCATGAAGGGGTCATGAATAGCAGCTGAGGCTTGGCACTGTGAGAGGTCAAGGAGGCCTTTGGTGAAGAAGGTGAAACCTCTGTTGCAATTGATGGCTCAAGACTGAAGGGGTCATGCAAAGAGGATGAGGCTTGGGACCATGAATATAGCCTATGAGAGGCTATTGGTGCATCCTAGTTACAGTGGAAGACAGTAGTGTTTTGAGGATGTCAGTGCCATGAGATGACCACCTCGAAAAGAAGCACCAGTGGAGCACAGGCAGCTGGTGCCTAGAAGAAAAGAGTGTGCTACAAAGGGCAGGGCTGGAGAAGTGGCAAAGGCCCTTATAAGAGGCCAGAAGATATTGAGTTGGATCCTGTACATCAGCTGGTTTGAGTTTGATTGTGACTGTGCCCTGATATTTTTCCCTCATGAAGGAATAAAGTATTCTAGTGGAGACCACAGTTGTGAGACTTAATTGTGAAAAGACTTTGAATTTAAAGAGATTGCATATATTTAAGGGATTGAAATGTTTTTTTGTTTTTTTTTTTTTTTTCGAGACAGGGTTTCTCTGTGAAGTCCTGGCTGTCCTGGAACTCACTCTGTAGACCAGGCTGGCCTCGAACTCAGAAATCCGCCTGCCTCTGCCTCCCAAGTGCTGGGATTAAAGGCAAGCGCCACCACCGCCCAGCTGATTGAAATGTTAATATGAAAGAATTTGCAAAGTATGTGGGACTTTTAAATTGTCAATTTTACTGGCTGGTTTTGTGTCAACTAGACAAACTGGAGTTATCACAGAGAAAGGAGCTTCAGTTGAGAAAATGCCTTCATGAGATCCAGGTGTAAGGCATTTTCTCAATTAGTAATCAAAGGGGGAGCCCCTTGTAGGTGGTACCATCTCTGGGCTGGTAGTCTTGGGTTCTATAGGAAAGCAAGCTGAGCAAGCCAGGGGAAGTACGCCAGTAAGTAACATCCTTCCATGGCCTCTGGCATCAGTTCCTGCTACCTGACCTGGTTGAGTTCCAGACCTGATTTCCTTTGGTGATGAACAGCAAAATGAAAATGTAAGCTGAATAAACCCTTTCCAAAACAACTTGCTTCTTGGTCATGATGTTTGTGCAGGAATAGTGACCCTGACTAAGACAAAAGGTTTACCATCAACTTAATGTCTAGCCTTATTGTCTTCATCATTACATTAATCACACTGTAGTAATCCAACAGCATCTCTGCACCTTTTAGCCTGTGAGGGCCCTGTTCAGGAGGCTGCACCCATCTCAGTCTTCCATGTAGCGTCAAGCTGGATCCACAGGGGAAGGAGCAGCACCAGAACAGATGTACAGCTCTAAGCATGGGTAGAGGCTCAAGAGCATCATAATGAGACAGACCAATGTGTAATCAACAGGAAGTGTCTTGTAAGGTGATCCCAGGCTGATTACAACATTTCTGGAGGAGCCTCCTTTCCTCCTCTCCAGGTTTCTTTGTTGGGAGAAGCTAGTGTACTCAAAGGGACACAGAAGGACTCCATATTTGGGTCTGGCCCTTCTACTTTTTTTTATGAGCTGTTGTATTAGGAGGGAACCAACTCTCCCTGTCCTCTCCTGTAAGTTATGCTGATTCCAACTGCAGGTCACCAATAGATTCTCATTATGTTCAGAACATCCTGATTTGTGGTTCCAGATTGGAAGATTCAGAAACCCAAGGTAAGTGTGGGAATGGACCATGGGACCTGTGTAATGACATACACATGTATTCCCACATGGGTCCTGAAAGCAATACTCACAAGACAAAGACTTGTGTTATTTGACAGTCAGTGGTATTTTATTGGTATTGAAATATGGAGAGCCAAATGTCATTTATGTCTGCAGTTCAATAGCAGGTCAAAGACCAGAGATGTGAGGCATTAATAATTGTAAGGAATGCACAGGACTTTACCCCAGAAGGCTGGAGTCCTAGATGCCTATTCCTGCCTGTGTGAGAAGATGCCAGGATCATTTTGACTAAGAGTATCTTTCTCTCTACTTGACTTCTAATTGCCATGTGGGTTTACCTGGTGGCACTGGTGGGCCTGTGGACACTCCTGCGCTTGGTCAGGGAGAGACAGGTAGTGAGCCATCTCCATGACAAATATGTCTTCATCACGGGCTGTGACTCTGGCTTTGGGAACCTGCTGGCTAGACAGCTGGACAGGAGGGGCATGAGGGTGCTGGCTGCATGTCTGACAGAGGAGGGAGCCAAGCAGCTGAGGACCAAGACATCTGAGAGGCTGGAGACAGTGATCCTTGATGTCACCAAGACAGAGAGTATTGTTGCAGCCACTCAGTGGGTGAAGGAGCGTGTTGGGAACAGAGGTACCATTGAGATTCCTGTCTGTGTTCTTGGTTTTCTCTGTTTGTGTGAAGGGAAGGCCCGTGTAGTCCTGAAAGGATTCCTAGTGTGGTCAGTTTAGAGTTGGAGTCACTGCAGACTCTGCCACTCTCTAACATATCAGTCTGTCCTCTTACCTCTACACTGAATCCTCCAAGGTCTGTATTTCTTTTTATCGGCTGGTGCCTTGGGAAGTTTTTATGTCCAAATTATTCTCTGTCCTCTTTGTCTTTGTATAGAAGACTGTTGGCTGCTGATTCCTTGGTTAGAGATAGTGAGGAGGAAGGAAGGACCTGGGTTCCTGGGGCCTGGTCTCTGTGTGAAGGTCATGGGCCAGAGTGCATCTGTTTTCTCAGTTCTGCAACATGTTCTTATGCACTACCTTTGCACCTATACAGGGAGAGCCAAAATCATTGCCATTCTTAAGCTCAAAGTCAAGGAATGTCTTCGGAAAGAAATGCTATGAGTTGGTCTCTCACTTTCGCACATCATACACACACACACACAGACACACACAGACACACACACACACACAGACACACACACACACACATGCATGTGCACACACACTGCCTATCAATTTCCTTTATCCTTTGTGACTCTTTCCACTATTTGTGTATAAATTACCTCCAAGACACCATTGACACTACAGTGCAGAAAAACTGTTCTTCCCTTGGACAGCAGTTATCAGTCACAAATGGCTTCTTGCTTAGACATTAGACCATGTGTCCACTTTCACTCCTCAGTGCTGGGTCATTGTCTCCTTCAGCCTGTGCATGTGTTTCCCTAGCTTCTGTGAGTTATAAAAGCAGCAGTCCTGTTGTTTCTGGAAGACAGTTTCCTTGGGGTCATCCATCACCTCTGGCTCTTAACATGTTTCTGCCTCCTTATCCTCAGAGATCTCTGAGCCTTGAGGGAGAGGCATGATGGAGACTTCTGGCTTAAGACTGAGTGTGCCAGAGTCTCTCACTCTCTGCATATTGGCCACTTGTGTGTCTCTGTGTTAATTCTTGTCTATAGCAAGGCACATTCTCCTGGATGGAGATTAATCAAGTCACTTGACTTTGAGTGCTTCTAGCAATATGCATTCAGTGTCTTGTTACTGTGTGTTCCCTTAGAATAATAATAATATTTAGTTTCTCCATAGAACCATGACTTATCTAGTCTCAGGGTCTTGGCCACTCTAGTAGAGTCGTTATGGATTCCATCTCTGAAAGCACATCTTCAATCTAATGAAATTGTTTAGTTATACCATGAAATTGTTGCCTTATGGAACCGTATATCCTAAAGACAGGTCACTGTGGTAGGTCAGATATAGGGCCCTGGTAATATCAATCACTACATTTCTCCTCTGGGAGTGTCCAGTGTGTCTTCTGGCACATGACATGCTAATCCATAGCAGTGAAGCTTTTAGTTGGACACCAGCTTGCCTTCTCTCAGATGGATGACATCAGATAGTACAGACTTCAGCTATTGACTT